ATCAATTAAATAATAGATCTCAATCTCTATTGATTGAATAGTTTTTTATTGATAATTTTTGTTGATGTCAATCAAAAATAATGAAACAATTAGCTCCCAATATTCCAATATAACAATTGCATAATGATTCCTTTGTTGAATAATTAAAAATTCATAAATAATAATTTCGAGTTTTAATTTAATTTATATTATTGATTGGCCTGTTAAATGGGAGGATGAAGGACTGTTTTGATTTAATTTTTCACAGATTTGTTATAACTCAGCAACATTATTAGCTGTTGCGACGATGCCATTTGTAATTTTATTGTCGTACTGCTCCAGAGTTCGGAGTGAAGAGAATTTGTTCATTTTAAGTGATTCGCATCAAGCTCTCTTTTTCGTGATTTTAATTTAAGCATAGCTTTTTTTAAAAATTTTCTTACGTACCGCTTTAGTCTGGGCACAATTTAGTAAAAAATTTGATGCTCTGACTTTGATCAAAACTGTTACTCATTTCATAAGTAAATTTTATACTTTTTAACTGATATTATAGTTGATAGATAAAGCATTAACAGAGCTTCGAAATGAAGGTTAAGTTTTGTTGAAATGCAGGACTACTAATATCAGTTGTTACACAAAAGTTGAACGAACTAGTGATGCTTCAGAAGCCGAAGCGAGTTTCACTTGGACTAGACAATTTGCATGCTTTGTAATGGATGAACAAGCAAAGAATATCAATTTATCTTGACGAAAAAGCTTCATTAGTGCCTAAGCCTGACCCGATAAAACCAATATTATTGACTAATCTTGACTAACCATACCGTAGAATATTGAAAGAAAGGCAAATTTTGATATCGGTTCTGATTTCGATGAGCATGGTTACTATCTATTCTTTTGTCCCTAATTTGAACTTATATGAAAGTTTATTTATTGAGTTATTATTCGAAATGTCATTGTAATTAATTGCTCATCGATTTTCATTTCTCTGAAAAGCCTTTTCTGTACCTTTTCTTACCATTTTCTGTAGTATTAATAAAATTTGGATTGGATTTTAATTTAAGATTCATGCAATTCATGCAAAAACATAGTTTGCTACCTAATAACTTTTGATTAGCTGCCTGAAAATGCGTTTTTAATTTCCTGTTTCTGTACAAGAGATAACTTTGATTAAAGGAAAAGTTATTTGCTTTAAGCTTTGGAGAAAAGCAACGAGACTCATTTCTTACCGATAATTCAATCTGTTATTCTGTGATCTTTTAATATCAATTATCTATTCAGACTTGATACAGAATTGAGTTAATATTCGTCTTGATTGGTAATGATTTAGCAAGTTCAAAGTTGAATACATGAAATTCAGAGACTGATTAATTGAATAAGAAAATAAATCTTGTTTAATTACGCACATTACCGCTCTAAATGCATCAAATTTTTAAACACAAGTGCTGGTATAGTTTAATAAATTGGGAAATTTAAAGTAAAGTTACTTTCGATTATGCAAAAATTACAAAAAATAGCATGAAAATTAGCAATGATTTTGCGATTGTTAATGAGCTGGAAGCAGAAGACGGTGTTGTACTGAAATTATTTTCGACAAAATAAACAAATCTTTTGTTCTCAATTATCTGCAATTCATAAGTCGTTTCCTTGAGTTTTACTGGCCCCGAAAGAATTTTCAATGAATCGGATATTGTCCAGAGACATTCATTTCCATCGATTTTCCCACCACCCAAAAACAATTCTTTGGTTTTCTCGCCTCGATATGTTGTGAACATAGTAAAGACTTGATCCTCAAAATTGCACACAATTCCGATGCCTATGTCGCTTTTTAAATTGACTTCAACTAATTTTGGAGTTTCTCCATTAACTTTTAATAAGAATTCAGTTTTCTTTTTCGCTACTCTAGCAATTAACAGATACTTCTCTGACCCAACAGCTTTGTATTGATAGCCATCAACAAATGGTTTAACATTTTTAGGTAACTGACTGTAGTCGGCTGCAGCAACAGGTACAGTTTGGGTCAAGTCGTAATGTATTTGGTATCCACTTTCTGAGATGTAATATTGAGGTGGATCAATCAACTCAAAAGGAAATTTAGAGTTACTTATCTCTATAGACCAGGAGCAGAAGACTTTACCATTCAAATAAATTGCAGTTCCATTCATCTCTGGCTGGTTCGAGTAATCAGGAATGGTACCACAAGTAAATAAAACGTTTGAAGTGTTCTCGTCACACTGAATCATAAGCATCTTAAGATTGTCAGATTTATTTGCTTCAAGTTCAAACCTGATTCCATCGGAACTGGAATTTGAATAAGATAGATGTATATCTGACCTAACTTCATCGAAGTGATCATCAGTTTTAAATAAAAATGTAATGTTTTTTATCGGACACGAAAAATCGAAACATTCTTTCCAATTTGCTGTAGTTGTTGTCGAGGAAAGTACAATGAACATGAATAAAACGGTTGAAAAGAGTGTAATTTGTGCCATGTCAATACAAACCATGTACAAACCACTAATGTTAAGGATAATGTAGAACTATTTTTCACTTTTGTAAACAGAAATTTTCTGTCTAAGAATGTTTAATCTGAGTGAAATCATCAATATGAAATAAATCTAACTTCGTTCCCATTTAAACGCAAAAAATATCGGATTAAGATTCACCTTTGAAATATATTTACTAGATTTACAATTAGCTCAATAAAACACATTAAATACATACTTATCATTCAGATTTCTTGAAGCTCAATTTATCTCGAAATTCATCAGATAAATAAATGTATCATGAGTCTTACAATTGGCATTGCAATATTTTTCAATGCAAAATTGCGTGTTCGATATGGGATCAGCTAACAAACTGATCATATCAAGGATAGCTCATAATGTGAAGATAATTTTAAGCAATATCCATTGAAAAGCTCATCTCGACCGATGCTTAAGATGAATTGGTGACATTTCTTATCTAGAGCTTGGTGCGAAAGTATGATTTACGAGGATTTGACTGTATTGATAAATGGACAGATTATTTCATCTTTTCTCAACACTCATACAACATGGAAACTTGGCTGATATTTGTATATGCGTTCAATTTTCTTGTGCGCTCAATCAAACGATTACCATCTGGACCATAAGGACTTCCAATTGTTGGTTATCATTGGTTGGTTCCATTCCTGAAAGACGAAAGTTACCTTGAGTTTGATTCTTTATCCAAAAAGTATGGACCAGTTTACAGTTTAAAGTTGGGACAACATGATGTTGTTGTTATTTGTGATTGGGATCATCTTAAGTTAGCATTTGCTGATGAGTCTCTACTCGCTGTACCCCATGACCTGTTTTTTGAAGGAATAATCAAATATCCGTCTTTCGTGAGATGTCTGATGAACATTGGCGTTCTTACCCGGGTTGAGTTTTCAGACAAAAATCAACAAGCTCATGGCTGAATGAAATATCACGCTCTTAGTGACTCATTTGGCAGTTTCACGTTAGAAACTGATCTATGATCTTGTTGTTGAGACATATGAGCATTAAAAAAACTTGAAAGAAAATTAGTCATAGGAATCAAGATCTTTGCATCTGTGTTCAAGTTCTTGTTTCGCAGAAAAATGCACTGAACTAAAGATCAGTATGGATTTATGAAGAAAACTCAAAGATCGTGTAACATTTATCGAGGTTTATTGGCATAAAAATGTCAAGATTTTTGTTTTTTCGAAACTGACTCAAGTCAGATAAATACAAGAAATTAGTTCATTTTTTGGTCTAAATGACAATAACTGATACATTTTTGAGCTGCAAATAGTAAAAAATTGTCGCTTTACGGCAAGATCATGATTAAAAATTTCATATTTTTGATAAAATGATTTATGAGCTTTGTGCTCATAACTAAGAGTTTACGCGAGTTAATCAAGTGATTAATGATTTCAACTGAAACTTTGAGGATATTTGCTGCTTATTCGTAGTAATATAATACTAATTTCAGCCTGAGTCATCCTCAATGACATAATCATTTTCATCAAGATCTTGTTCATTTTGGTCAAGATTAATGGCGCTCGGCCCAGCTACAGGTTCGGATTCATCTTGAATCTTGACTTTTCCTCCTCGCAGGTCCAGTCCAAGTTGATTTATTGGATTTCTAACTAGAATATGCCAACCGTCTTTTGACTCAAAAAGTTCTTTGTCAATTTGGCTAAGAATTACTGAAATAAAATGAATTATTAAATCACTGTCAATCATGATGCTGAAAAGCCACTCACATAGCAGATTTTTTTCTTCTTTGTCTGAAAAAACTTTCATTCTGTTCTTACGCTTTACACCTCCAAATTTTTTTTCTGGATCCAAGATCTTAGTCTCCATTAGCCTTTTATCTCCGAACATTAGTCGAGCTACTTTTCTGACAAAATAACCAGGTAAAGCGTTGCCTCTTATAAGATGATTTCTAATACCTTCCATGATATCAGATTGTATTCCTTCGATGGTAAATTTCTTGATATTTGACGTCCATTCAAGATCTTGTCTGCAATGGAAAAGGGAGACATTGAAACGTTCTCTGAGTCGCTGATGTGTAATCGGTTCTTCGGTTTTTGATGGAATTATCGGCTTTCTTATAGATTGTTTTCTGAAATAGCCATAATTTTCAAGAACTTGCTGGCCTGGAACTTTCTTGCGCTTAGCGCCTTGATCTTGAGTCTTCTTTGTTTTTTTTCTTTTATTTTTCGTTAAAGAAGCTTTTACATTATCAACAAGATCTTTTATCTGTTCCAGCTTCTCTAAAATATTTTCAGCTTGGCTTTGCGTAAGATCTGAATAGTTAAATATATAAGATCGTAAATATATAAAATACTATAATTTAAATAGAAAAACAAACTTACTTTCACTGATTTCAGAGTCTTGACTGGATGATATAGTTGTTATTTGAATCTCTGGTGTAAGAATAGGATCACAGATTTGCTCATCAAGATCTTCAGAAAAAAATTGCGAGGCAAAGAGCCCGAATTTTTTAGCACTTTGAAAAGATCCGTAAAAACAGATGAAAGAGCTTTGCTCTTGACTTCTATCTGGCATCATTTGAACGGGTTTTTTGGATCGAAGTTCATCTTTTATAACTTCAAGATCTTGTTTCAATGTCGAAGCTTGTTCAATTTCAATTTCCTTCCGATCAGGAAAACAAATAATGATAAACGCATCTGAAAATGAAGAAAATAAAAGAAAATCATTAGAATAGTAGTTTTAAGACACTTATGATGTCCGAATAACTCACCTTTGGTGTCAATTTTATCGTCGTAAAGATCTTCTTCATACGACTGTATTACGTGTTCTAAGATCTTGAACATATTGATAAGAACTTTAATAAAAACGGTTCAATAAAATCAAGAAATTCACAGATTACAAAAAATAAATGCTGCCTTTCAAGATATTTATGGGGAATCACATATGCGATTTAACTTACATTTACTTGCTCATTTGTATGAGCAATATCAAAATTATGGTAGTTTAGTTGACATGTCAACGTTTAGTTTTGAAAACAATATTTTCAACTTGAAAAGATCTTTTCATGGGACAAGAGGACAGCTAAGACAAATCAAAGATTCGTATCTTTTTAGCAAAGGCTTTCTTCTCTTGCAAAATGATCTTGAAACTGCTAGACAAGATCTTGATCCGGCAAACTACTTGGATTTCATTAAACACAACCCAGTTTGCTCATTGCCTTCACTTCTTGGTACAGAGGATAAAAATTTTACTATGGATACACAACCATTTAATCTTTTGAAATCATATTACCCCGATATTAAGCGATCTGACCTGAAATTTTACCATCAACTAAAGCAAGATCATAAAACCTATCATTCAATCAACTATAAATATCGACGAGGATCGTGCTCATATATGGTTTCTTATGGTCGTAGTGAAGTTGACAAGAATTTCGGAAAAATAATATGCTTTGTAGCTGTTATGTCTCGATTGAATCCCTCTAATGTCCTCAAAACATTTGTCATTTTGAAAAAATTCCAAAAACTTGCTAATGTTAATGTTTTATCTGGTCTTGATCCAGCGAGCAACATTCATTTGAAAGAGCTTGCAAAAATGACTATTTTGAAAAAATATCACCATGTTATTAATGAAACTAGCCATCAAGATCTTGTTATGTCAGAAAATCTCAAAGAGCGTGCAATTGCTATCAAAGATGATAGATATACAACTAGATACACAATCACTGAATGTGATCTACCCATTGATCATGATTAGCCATTGTTAATTTGCTTTGTACCTGCTTATATTCAATAAGATCGTTGTAAACATGGAATATCATACAAATTCAGTAAGAAATTGTGACTTTTCTTGTCAAGAATATATGACATACAATGATCTTAGCATCTTGTTTCACTTAACAAAATAAATGTATGATCTTTTCCGAAATTCTTAAGCTCGTGTCAATTGAAATTATACGAAAGATCTTTACAGTTAATTCTATGATCTTACAACAAGATGTGATCTTACTGAGTCATTCTCAAATTCTTAACCCGGGTATAGACGTTTACCCTTAAATGTCTTAGTTTTGGTACGAGTAAAATGGAAAAGGCTACAAGTAAAGAAATACAATTTTTACCAATCATTGGTGAGGGTAAAGTGGATTTTTTTGAAAAACTGTTACCCAGTGTATCAAATAATATATCAATCCTATTGTTCGGTCACTGTTTGCTGTTCTTTATGAAACCAAGATAAGGG